ACATAGGATGCTTTTTTCCGGGAAGTGGACCAGGGACCGATCTATTCGAAAAAATCGTATTTATCGTCCGATTTGCTTAAAATTTGGTGCTTAAGTAGGTTTTTGCCCAGGTTAGCATATAGGATATTTTTTCTCGGGAAGTGGACCGGGGACTGATCTATTCGAAAAAATCGTGGTTATTGTCCGATTTGCTTAGAATTTGGTACGTAATTTAGCTTTCACTTCTTCTTATCCGCTAAACGTGTTTCGTATTTTTTGTTGTACCAACTTTTTCGAAAAAAGTCCAGCTTTTGACGTTGGAAAATGCCAAACATATAAGTAGAGAATTTGTCTAATATTTTTAAATCATTTTCTTCACAACTGCTGCTTCCGTGGATATTGCAACACACGGAATAGATGTAATAATGCAGCTATAGGAGCCACCGCATTCCACAGAATTTATCGGCCGCCTATTTAAATAGTAGGGCTCGCTTGAAATATGTAAATGAAGATGTATGGAGGTGCGCACACTACACCAACTTAATCGCTCCGACTAATTAGTTGTGATGCAATGGAAAGACTAGCAAGCCCAACTAAATCGGCGGCCGATAAAGTTCGTATAGTGCGTTGGATCTAAAACATTTTAAACAAGAAATATTGCAGTCACATTTTCGTTTTTAGGAGTTTTATTCATGCAAACAAGCGGGTATTGGCTATTCAACAATACTTATTACACAGGCCAACAAAAATGGTAAAAAATTTGATCTTAACATTATTTTTGCCGCGTTTTTGTGTGCTGATTACGAATCCGTAAGCATAAAGTTTCCATCAGCTCCAGATTTTAAGAAAACCGAGGTCAAAGTGTCAAAAAGTCGCGTTCATTTTTCAATATTTGAGAAGCTCTAGCAAGGAACAAAGGGTGGTAGAACCTCCTTCCACTTAGGCTGTGACTAAAGCTCAAAATGTCGAATACTATCCTTGCAAATTCCTGCGCATTTAGTTGATGGTCACTTATAGTCATTTGTTGAACAGGAATAACTGATTTTGGGAAGTTTGAGTACCTATCGCAATTAAGCAAAAGGTGATAGAACCTTCCACTTAGGCTTAAATTAAGGCCTGGACTTCTGACTTCAATCCCTGAAAATACCGTTCCTGCACCTTGACCCTAAGGTCACCTACAGTCATTTATTGAACAGCTAACACTGATTTTTACACCAATATTTTCAATTGCATAATTATCCAGCATTTTTTTTTTATTGTTGGACGATAAAAAGTAAATGAGTATAGGTGACCATTAGTGCAAGGTGCAGGAATAGTATTTTCAGAGATAGTAGTAGGTAGGTCTGTCTTTAATTTAAGCCTAAGCAGAAGGTTCTATCACCTTCCTCAGAGGTTCTCAAATATTGCAAAAAACGCGATTTTTTTGACACTNTAAAAAATTTGATCTTAACATTATTTTTGCCGCGTTTTTGTGTGCTGATTACGAATCCGTAAGCATAAAGTTTCCATCAGCTCCAGATTTTAAGAAAACCGAGGTCAAAGTGTCAAAAAATCGCGTTCATTTTTCAATATTTGAGAAGCTCTAGCAAGGAACAAAGGGTGGTAGAACCTCCTTCCACTTAGGCTGTGACTAAAGCTCAAAATCTCGAATACTATCCTTGCAAATTCCTGCGCATTTAGTTGATGGTCACTTATAGTCATTTGTTGAACAGGAATAACTGATTTTGGGAAGTTTGAGTACCTATCGCAATTAAGCAAAAGGTGATAGAACCTTCCACTTAGGCTTAAATTAAGGCCTGGACTTCTGACTTCAATCCCTGAAAATACCGTTCCTGCACCTTGACCCTAAGGTCACCTACAGTCATTTATTGAACAGCTAACACTGATTTTTACACCAATATTTTCAATTGCATAATTATCCAGCATTTTTTTTTTATTGTTGGACGATAANTAACGGTGCCAAAACTCTTGGTGCTTCAACCATTGCCATTGCTTCAGTCGATTGGTAGGGGCTTGGCGGACATCAGGTTCGGGTACGGCTAAAAGCGGGGAGCCAACCAGAAAATCGCCAGGGGTAAGGGCGAGCTTGTCCTCCGGATCGTCATGAAGTGGGGTGATGGGACGCGAATTTAGACACGCCTCAACTCGTGCCGCCAAAGTCTGCATCTGGTTATGCCACATCGTTTGAGCACCAACACAGCGAACTAGATGGTGTTTGGCAGACTTGACGGCAGCCTCCCAGAGCCCGCCTTGATGCGGCGCGCTTGGAGTAATAAAATGCCACTGCGTACCCATAGCTGCTAACGATTTTTGATTGTTGTCCGTGTACCAGGCGGCAAGATCTTCTTGTAATAGTCGATTACCACCGATAAAAGCCGTGCCATTGTCACTGCACAAATCGCGACATGGTCCTCGTCGACTAATGAAGCGGGTGAACGCATCAAGGAACGCCTGAGAAGAGAAGTCGTCCACCACTTCAAGATGAACAGGCTTTGTTGCCATGCAAATGAAAATGGCGAGGTAGGTTTTGACCATTGTGCGAGAGCGTTTCGTTCCCGTACGCAACATAAATGGACCACAATAGTCGACGCCGGAAGCAGCAAAAGGTCGGGCAGCGCTAACGCGCTGCATAGGTAGTTGGGCCATCTGTTGCATCAACAACGCTCGGCGATGTCGACGACAGATCACACAGCGGTGGATGGCTCGTTTGACGGCCTGGCGGGCATTCAAAATCCAGAAGCGCTGTCTGAGAGTCTGAAGCATCAGTTGCGTTCCCCCGTGAAGAGTTTGTTCGTGAACTTGTAGGACGAGTAGCGTGACCAGAGGACTGGATCTCGGCAAGAGGATTGGGAAACGCCGCTCGTATGATAAGTCAGCTCTTTGAATGCGTCCACCCACTCGCAACATGTGCTTGTCATCAAGTAAGGGATTCAACGGCATAAGTCGACTGGAATGTGCGATGTGTCTTCCACTCTTCAGCTGCTTGACCTCACTGCTAAAGGCATCCTCTTGGTCCATACGAATCAAAACGTCTAATGCATCGTCGAATTCTCTTGCACCTATAACCCGCTTACGCAGATGTTGACGTGAACTAAGCCATCGCAGGATAATGGCCACTGTACCTAGAAGGCGTTGGATGGAACTGAAGCGCTCGGTGAGTAGTACGACCTTACCATCACGTTGTCGTGTTTCAATAGATCGCGCAGCACTGATAACTGCAGTGCATGAAATGGTGTGCTCTTCGGTACTTACTGTATTCGCTTCGTCCCCAAGGAGGGGAAGCGCTTTGTTTCTTACAGGGATGTCTTTCTCCAGCCAGCTTGGGCCCTGCCACCAAAGCGGATGCTCCAGCAGTTCGAGGGGTGATATGCCTCTACTCGCGCAGTCGGCGGGGTTCTGTGCCGACCAGATATGATGCCCTCGATCGGGCGAAGTGAGCTCCTGGATCTGACGTACTCGATTCGATACATATGGCTTAAGCGTTGTTGGGTGTTTCTTTATCCAACAAAGAGCAATCGACGAATCCGACCACAAATAATAGGGGGCGTTCATCAAACCCAAAGCGCTTCTTACAGCTTGGAGTGTTTCTGCCAACAAAACCGCTGCCCAGAGCTCGAGACGTGGTATGGTAGATCCCTTAAGTGGAGCCACCTTAGTGCGCGCTGTCAGCAATGCGAGTTGTACTCTTTCGCCTGCGCCTACAGTTCTTGTGTAAATCACTGCTGCGTAAGCTTGCGAACTAGCANGATGCCCTCGATCGGGGGAAGTGAGCTCCTGGATCTGACGTACTCGATTCGATACATATGGCTTAAGCGTTGTTGGGTGTTTCTTTATCCAACAAAGAGCAATCGACGAATCCGACCACAAATAATAGGGGGCGTTCATCAAACCCAAAGCGCTTCTTACAGCTTGGAGTGTTTCTGCCAACAAAACCGCTGCCCAGAGCTCGAGACGTGGTATGGTAGATCCCTTAAGTGGAGCCACCTTAGTGCGCGCTGTCAGCAATGCGAGTTGTACTCTTTCGCCTGCGCCTACAGTTCTTGTGTAAATCACTGCTGCGTAAGCTTGCGAACTAGCATCGCAGAAGCCGTGTAAAGTCGTTTGCATACCGTGTGCCATGCCTAACCATCGATTCACACGAACTTTGTTGAGTAACTCCAGCTTAGACCGATAGTTTATCCAATCGTCGCGAAGATCATCAGACAACGGTGCATCCCATGAAAGACCAGCGGACCACATTCGCTGTATAAACACCTTACCCTGGACCACCACCGGTGCCAAAAAGCCCGTGGGATCAAAAAGCTGAGCAACTTCGCTGAGAACCCGTCGTTTGGTTGGTGTAGGACCTGCTTGCTTGAGAACCACCTGGAAGAAGAACTGGTCAGCGGCAGCATCCCACCGTAATCCAAGTACGGAAGCCGTAGGAGGGTTTATTTCTAAGCCTGCGGAGGAAGAAATGTTACCGGTCAAGTATTCTATTACCTCAGCATCATTGGAGTTCCATTTCCTCAATGTAAATTTCCCAGCGGAGAGAATTTCATCAACATTGTGAGCTAAGACCTTAGCGTCAAACTCACAACTGGTCAAAAAATCGTCAACGTAAAATGACGTTAAAATGGTATCGCGCGCTTTCGCGGCTTGCCGGTGGTCCGATATTACGTTGTGATTGTCGCGTGTACATTGTTCGAGTGCACGTATGGCGGGCTGCACGCCATACCATACGTAACCGTTGATAGTCGATATACCTTGAGTTCATCCGAGGGTGACTCGCGCCAAAGGATCCGTTGGAAGTCTCGGTGTATGGGGGCAACGAGTACCTGCCGGAACATTTTTTCAATGTCGGCTGTTAGGGCCACCCTATAGCGTCGGAAACGTAAAATTATATTGATGAGCGAGTCTTTTATGGTCGGGCCCACTATTTGCACCTCATTTAGTGACACGCCAGTACTAGTNTATGGCGGGCTGCACGCCATACCATACGTAACCGTTGATAGTCGATATACCTTGAGTTCATCCGAGGGTTACTCGCGCCAAAGGATCCGTTCGAAATCTCGGTGTATGGGGGCAACGAGTACCTGCCGGAACATTTTTTCAATGTCGGCTGTTAGGGCCACCCTATAGCGTCGGAAACGTAAAATTATATTGATGAGCGAGTCTTTTATGGTCGGGCCCACTATTTGCACCTCATTTAGTGACACGCCAGTACTAGTTGGTGCCGATGCATTGAACACCACTCTAAATTTGGTGGTTACAGCGTGGTGGGGAATGTAGTAGCCGTTGGTGTGATCACCTACGTTATTTACGGGTTCCATATGGCCAAGACTTACGTACTCACGCATGAACTTAATGTAATTATCTTTAAGCTCAGAGTCACCAACGAGACGTCTTTCTAGGCGTTGAAATAGGCGAAGAGCGTGCGCATATGATTCGCCAAGTCTCGGTGCATCGCGGCGGAATGGCAGCTGAACCATGTAACGTCCATCACTAGTACGGGAGTGTTTGGCTGCAAATATTCGACCACATTCATCATCATCGTCTGATGCACACACGGGGACCTCCTGAAGCTTCCAAAAATTGTGAACTAATTCTTCCAGCACCAATTCTTCCAGCACCAAATCATCCTCGACTAGCTTTGCGCTGTGCACTGAGCACGAGCGATGAGTTCTCCTTCGACGAAACTTCTGACGCTGGACCAAAAACTTCCCAACCAAGGCGAGTGCATTGAGCATAAGGTTCATCTGGTCTGCCACCGATGATGTCATCCTCCACGATTCTACCCCAGGCATCAGCTCCAATGAGACAGTCTATAGCCCCAGGTGTACCAAAATAAATATCGGGCATATCGAGGCCAGCCAGGTGTTGCCACTGGTTAACGTCTAAACGCACGGCAGGAGTGTCCGATGTGATTGACGGGATCACCAAAGCGTTGATTTTGGTTTCAAAGTTTGAATGCAATGACTTTATGTTTACAATAACATTACCCGTAGTTCGAGTACTAATACTCGATCCAATCCCCTGTACATTCAATTGGCATTTGTGTATTTTTAATCTCAATGATTTAGCTAATCGATCTTTAATAAAACTAACCTGCGAACCTGGATCGCACAAAATTCGAGCCAATCGTTGAACTGCTGCATCCCCATAGATTTATGCACGCGCTGTTGCCAACAGAATCGTAGGTCTGACTTGGGCAACGCAGGTTGTAATTGGCGAGGTTAGTCATAAGTTTGGAGCAGGCTGGACAGCTTGCGGGGTAGCCTCGATGACCTTTGAGCTGGACTGAGAGCCTGAAGCTGCTACTCCTGTTTGGCTCTCGCGACAAAACAGCGTGTTATGCTGTCGACCGCAATTACGGCAACCACCAGAAGAACATTGTTTCGACGAATGTCCAGCCCTTAAGCAATTATAACAAAGCTTCGATCCCTTAACCGCCTCAAAACGTTCCCCGNACGATGAATGCCATGGCAATGGGCACACTTCCCATCAACCGTGGAAACCACGTTAGAATTTACTGCTCGCGGCAATCGCACCGACTCAATGGATGTTTCCTGGCATAGGCTATGTGCTCTTTTTTCTAGAAATTTCAGCAAATCCTCCAACAGCGGTATCTCATGTGAAGAACAACGCATAGACCAGTCGCGTTTCGTGATAGTAGGTAGCTTGGAGGTAACGATGGGAACTGCCAATGCATCCCATTTATCGACAGGCACCTCCATAACCCGCAACGCGCGTAGCGACTCGTGAACCGTGTCCACAATGGCAAGCAAAGACTTGGCCGATTCTTCTGTCGACAATTTTAAGTTAAGGAACCGCGTCACATGGATTTCTGCGAGTTGCTTTTTGTTATCATAACGGTCCTTTAACACGCGTGTTTACCTCCTCGTAGCCACCCGAATAAACACCACCTATGAGCGGCACCTCCTTTGAATTGACAGATTGCCGAAGCTTCCCTAATTTGAACGCTTCTGGATAGGAGGACTTGTGTACGAGAGTCTCAAATGTGTCCTTAAACGCAAGCCAATTACACATCCTCCCATCGAATACCGGAATCACCAGCGGGTCAATTTTCAGTTCGACCGAACGCCCATCCAACAGAGCGCTATGAGTGTTGAGCACGTGGTCGGTTGAGGCCGCAGCCGGAACCGATTTTGTGCTTGCTATCAGACGATTGAGGCGACAGCAAGCGTCGTCATATAACGCCTCAATTGCTTCCCACAAGGCGTCATGCGGTGCAACCTCATCCTTGGTAGCCTGGTCTACAAGATGAGCGTGATTAAGAGTGAATCGCTGAAAGTGTGTTTCCAATGATTTAAGCTCGTGCTCCAGTTGAAATACGTCGTGGGTTTCGCAGCTGGCTTCACACACCCGCGCATGTATGCGCTTGATTGCATTGACGGCCGCTGAGCGCCAGTTTAATTCCGCCATGTTCACCAAAATGAAACAAAAACTATATATATATATACTTTCCTCACAGGAGGCACCAAGAAATGTTACAATGATGTTACCAATATAATCCTTTATTGAAGAAAGAAGAACTTTTTCAGTTGAAATTTGCATTTTATACCTTGGGAAAAATAAGTAAGATGTACAGTGAAAGGAAATGTCAAATCATCAAGACTCGAAAGTCGAGGCTCGAAGCAAATGAATTCAGGTGAATAGAAAACAAGGTTGCATTAATTCTAAAGTACTTAAGTGACTTTATCATATTGAACACCCAGAATACAGTGTTTTTTCTCTTTCATAATAAATTTTTTGTTAATTTTTTACAGAAATATAGTTCATCAAATGGCACCAAAATTTTGAGTATGCAGTTTTGTAGTTCACTCAATTTCATTATCACAAAGTGTAAGTTTTAAATGGCTATAAGTTACCGTTGATTTTTGAGAATTTGTTTCGCTGATGATGTTGCGCATTTTCTCCGTATAACGAATGCGTGATAGTTTTTTTTTATGGGAAAAAATGCCGGAGAGTGTCAGTATGTAAAAGACTTATTCTGGTGGCTTAACTCCTCCTAAATGACCGAAACGATTTTAATGATAATTTTAGTGGCGGCGGGGGCCGAGTTATTGCTAAAAATCGTCGATTCGAAGGCACCAGGGATCAAAGTCAAATTACTCCCATTAAATCAACCATCAGAACCATTGCGGTCCTTGCTTTACGGTGACTAAACAGAATGTGGACCAATGATACTCACCAGTTTGGAAATTGCCACCAACTATACTATATACATTCAAGGACAATTCACTATCGAGCCACGAGGACTTCTTCCCGGTATAACGCTTTCATCAGGTTATTTAAGACGGCAGTGGAGGATACGCCTGTCGACCACAAAACCAAACGTGAACGTGAATTGCAGGCGAAAATGTTGGACCAAATGTTTCAACAAAAGAAATAATTTTGGGACGAAGTCCTCCGGGTTTGCTAGTTTTATATATAACTTAAGTATCTTGTGTGTGTGTACATATATAAATACATATCCAGGGCTTATATTCAATACCCTCTATCTGCAATTTTGATGAAAATGAGCTTNCGAGACGAAGTTCTCCGGGTTTGCTAGTTTTATATATAACTTAAGTATCTTGTGTGTGTGTACATATATAAATACATATCCAGGGCTTATATTCAATACCCTCTATCTGCAATTTTGATGAAAATGAGCTTTTGATGGTAACGTGAGCTCCGATTAATCTTTTAGCCATGACAATTATAACAAACTTAAAATATAGCTTTAATGGTATTATATTCTTATTTTGAAAGTTCCACTATCTGCAATAACATTTTTTTATAAGAGCAAAATCCCTTATCTACACAATTTTGCTGGAAAATTGTTTTTATTAATATTACCGGTAAANACGAAGTCCTCCGGGTTTGCTAGTTTTATATATAACTTAAGTATCTTGTGTGTGTGTACATATATAAATACATATCCAGGGCTTATATTCAATACCCTCTATCTGCAATTTTGATGAAAATGAGCTTTTGATGGTAACGTGAGCTCCGATTAATCTTTTAGCCATGACAATTATAACAAACTTAAAATATAGCTTTAATGGTATTATATTCTTATTTTGAAAGTTCCACTATCTGCAATAACATTTTTTTATAAGAGCAAAATCCCTTATCTACACAATTTTGCTGGAAAATTGTTTTTATTAATATTACCGGTAAAATCCGATCTTATGCAGCGTTTTTGCTGCATTTAAAATGCAACATTTAGCTCTTTCGAACATACAGTCCGCGAAAAAAGATAGCACTTTCCCTTGTTCTGCTATTATGGAAAAGCAAAAGCATTTTAACTCAAACTCATTTTTACTTGTTATTTGTCTCTTTTGTACATTCCTCTTAAACAACATAGCGGTAGTCTAACTAACGTAGTGGTTATGAAAGAAACAAAAACGAAAAAATTCCGCGAAGAACAGATAGCACTTTTTACATTCACACGCGGTCAGACGACAATAAGCGGCGGTTTATAATGTTTATATCAAATCTATGTTAAATAACACTGTGAGACAAATGGTAGGGGTCAGTGATCGGGAAGGGTTCAAACTACCGGGGAAAGTTATATCGGTAAAAAAGAAGATATACGTGTCCCGGCGTTTCGCTGGGACGTCTAGGAATCGAGATATATCGATTTGAAGTTAGTAGTAGGGGAAATTGTCACCTTTGGTGGTCTTTTTTTTTGACATAACTCGAGAACCACTAGTCCGATTTTGCTCAAACAATTTTAAAAATTAAAAATTTCAATTCCTTTAATCTGTTCATATAACGCTTTTCTATATAATCAACAGTTTTGCCGGTAAAAATAAATGTATGAAGAAAATAAAATATTTTTTGCATAAAATATTAAATTGTTTTATTTTTTAAATTCATAAAAAATCCAAAACGGAAAAAAGGCAAGTCGTATTACTTTCACGCAAAGTCACATAACCTTTAAGCAAAATGAGACATAGATCATGAAAATCGATGGACGCGTTTCGCTTTTATTCACAATTAAGTGAAGGTATTCATTTTGACAAGAATATTTCCCCTATATGATAGTTACTAACTTCAAATCGATATATCTCGATTCCTAGACGTGACCCAGCGAAACGCCGGGCCACGTATAACTTGTGTTTGACCGATATAACATTTCCCGTTGGTTTCATCCCATCCCGATTTTGACTGTCGCATAGTGTAATTGATTAATTTTTAGTTTTAAATAAAAAATGGGGCGTGGTAAAAGGTTATCCACTGCTGAAATAAAAGTGATCAAAAATCTTACCGAAAAAAAATTCAAAGTGGCTGAAATTGCAAATACTCTAAGCAGAAGCAGAAAAGTTGTTATGAATTTTCTTAGGGACTCGGGGAAAACTATGGTAAAGCACACAGTCCAGGTCGCCCACGTGCTATAATTGAAAGAGAAAAACGTGCAATTATACGAATGGCCTCTAATCCATGTATGACCGCTCGCGAAATTGCTGCTGAAGCTGGT